TCGTCTGCTATTGCTCGTATTCGCCGCGCTTCCCGCGCGAGGGCTGCCGGGAGCCAGCGCGTGATGCATCCTGGTCCGGCGTCGCTGGCGCGGCCGGCGCGGAATAGGGCATGCTACATTTTGGCGTCGAGGCGGTCAGATGGCGTCGAACGCCGCCGGTCGCGTCGGTTACGCCACGACGCCGGAATATAGAGCGTCGGGTTTTCGTCGACGTGACGTCGCTGTGACGCGCTCGCACGCGCGCACGCGTTACGTCGGAGTATAACAGAGCCTTTGCTCCGTTACTTTTAACATGTTAGAGCGAACTTGGCACTTGGTACGCGTTTCGTGCGCGCGGTTAGATGGGGGAGTTGCCTCAGAAGAGCGCAGTATGGTAAGTGCAAAGGGGCTCTTCTGGGCTGTGGGCCCCCATATACGGCAATGCCGTCATTTCGCTTTAAAAGACACTTTAACAAGCACAGGGCGTGGTAAGTACAGAGCATCTTATTATCGGTCCGAAGCCAATCAGACTGCTGTATTAGCCGGGAAGAGACCTCAAAGACGAATCACGATGCAAGAACCGTCTCGCATAACAAGCCGCACCTGGCGTTTCCTGAGACTTCGATGACTATATTCGTCACGACCTTTCAGCTGACGTTAAACGCCGTTTCAAGTTCGCGAATCCTGGCTCCGTGCTGTTGTTCCGAGTTGGGAGTGCGGCGAGGCAACTTTTCCTTTTAAGCATGAACTCAGCATGTAGTGACTGGACGCCACTTAGCAAAACGGTGCGTCTATTCATTATTTAAAAAATAAAAAAAAAACACGACACGTTATTTTTAGCGATGTGATTATAGGTGGAGCGACCTCGTTCTGTTCTAAAAATATCATCTTGTAAAATGGGCTTGTGCTATGCACTGTCCGCGTACTGGGATTACTTAAAATAGCCCTGCAATTTTGTTTCAGTTGCTTCTGTTACGTGCATAAATACAGCAATCATGATTGGCGCCTACCGGACGATGCTCGCCAGGCTCCTGGTATTTGCAGAGTTCAAGCATCTATAGTGCAACATCCCGAGTGAATATGTATATATTCATGAAGCATTTCCTTCCACATGGCTCGCCCGCTCGTGTATTTGCTCATTTCAATCACTTGGGAACGTAGGGCCGAGGTGGCAGCCAGCACTTGCATTCACGGGCTCCTGCCTTTTGGGCTGCTTCAGGCTCTCGGCCGTATACGAATGTTAATGTTCATAAACACTTTGACTTTGACTTTGGCGCCATTATATAATTTGTCACTGAAGTCGATGCAAATTACATAGTTGTGAAGTATTTCTAAAAGTAATTGACGTACATATTTAGGTGTTTGCATTATACTAAATATAGTTTGCAGTGAAAGTATCTATCTGGACGCCTTGGATACTTTATAAAGCATGTATTGTGTAACGTAATTTAGAACCAGGGATGGGCAGTATTTGAAATACAAGTATTTGAAATACGTATTTCAAATACTTTGTGTATTTTGCATTTGTATTTAATTACAAATTGGGTAATGTACTTGACGTGTGTATTTAAATACTAAAACGTGGGTATTTCAAATACAATTGTAATTAAATACAATTTTGTGGGCGAAAATATATCCCTCAAATTTATTGTCTCGACTCATTTTGCTCATCCTAGGACGTGTCCAGAGCAGGAATAAAACTACGTTCTGCACCGAATGCAGTGTCTCTCAATCAAGCACAAGCATTTAGTGACTTTGTGATTACGGTGCTGGTCCAGGGCAAGAATAGTGACGAAAGCGACGTTCACAGGCAGACTGGCTAAATAAGTGCCTGTGACAACTTGTGATGCTTTCCAGCCTGATTTCCATCCATATTTTAGCCTGGAACATTCTAAATGCGCGGGTCGTCCAGATTTTCGTAACTGGTTTCGAGTTGCAACAATAAAAAATTCTCTGCTGCGCGTGTTGGTCGTCTCGGTTCTTTGTTGATCTATACCAACATGTAATCGACAAAGAAAGCTGCTTGAAGTTCTGTACTTTTTTCACCTATTACGTCCAAGCTGATTACATTTTTTGTGATTATATTTCTATTACGTTATAGAGCTTCGCACACTAACTCCCGAGTGTGCTATGCAAAATTAAAATGAGATACCCAGAAACCCGTTTCAGGTGCCCTGAAGTTGCTGACGCAAATGTTGAGGAATGTATTTGGAGAAGTATTTGGAGGAGACCAAATACATTTGGTTGTATTTGTATCTTGTACTTAAATGCTTTTTTGGAAATGTAATTAGATTTGTAATTAAATACATTTTGAAGAAGTATTGTGTATTTGTATTTCGATACATGGTTGCATGTGTTTTGCCCATCCCTGTTTAGAACTTATCAAACTGCGGTTGACACAAAACTTCAGAATTGCAAACATGTCTCCCAGACTTGCCTTTATTGTTAAACGTACACCTTCTTATCATTGCTTATTATGGTATCACGCATTTGAGTTTTCGCTTTTCACGGTGTGCGAAAACCAGACGAGAGAGGCTGCCATTCGGTCGTTATCTCGCGTATACGAAAACCATCAAAAGCTCACAAATGTTTATTTATTTTTTTTTATTTTTTTGTGTGTGTATTTTATTTAGCCCTGTTTTTGCCTTTCGAGGTCACAGAGTATTTCTAAGCGGAGTTCCGAAGCGCAGTAGATTAAAGAAGATGTAAGAAAATCTTAAGAAAAATCACAGTTTGATTGTAAGCCAGGTGCAGTGTTAGGAATACCCAATTCTTGGGCCGCCAATAGCTTTTTATTTTTCTTAATGTACGTTACCACCTTATAGACTAGCTAGGCTCTTCTGAGTATCACGCAGGCTTTTTTATTTTTTATATTATTTCATAATTCATTTTGATCGTCGTCGTACGTAGACTTTTGGCTGTTAATACTGTCGTGTTTTTGTATTTCGAAGTTGAGCTGCCTATTTTTTCTTTTGAAATAGTAGTAAATTGTTACACGAGGTTTAATTCTATACAGAACGACATGATGAATTGCTCGAGAGCGACATCGTTAGCTGCTAACGCTATGGAGAGCCGTAGCCGTACCTGACGAAAGTACAGGATTGGTCCCATATCTTGACAAAAAATAAACTATCCGATTGACAGACTATAGCTTTCTCTCTCAATATCTCCAACAAACCTTCTACCAAATACTTATTGGGAGGATACGTTCTAATCCCCATATTTCAATACAGCAGCCAGCCTACAACGCAAAAAAAAAGCATGGGCACCGCGGCGTACACGCTGTCGTTATTTCGCGCTGTGCCGAGAAAGAACGCTGTCATCGACGTACTGAGATACTGGATGTGCCGTGACAGCAAAGCCGGTCATCTCAGCTGTTTTGAAAGTGGTCCACAACCGTCGATGTCGGCAGCCATCCCCCCAATTCAAAGGGCGAAAACACCGAAGCTGCGAGCGTCCAGCCGTTCCGACTAGGCAAATGCTGCCGTCTCCAAGGCCACTAGATTTTCGCAGGAGGATACATGCTCTCTGGTAAAGTACTTGCTACTATTGTGTCCTCAAAACCTTTCCACAAACGCGTTCCAAAACAATATAAACTTTACCCTTCAAATAAAAGAAAACTATTTTGCAATGAAAACAAAAAAGGCTCATTCAATCGAGTCAAAGGGTCACAAAACCACTATACTCCATTTCACATTAAATCGCACCGCAGCCAACGCTATGACCTCATGCAGAGAAAAATGCATCATTTTAGCGCTCGTCATTTGTCCACGTTTGCTATGACCGGCTAAACCCACTGCGAACCAAAAAGAATGCCAAAATCGCTGCTGTCGCTACACTGATTCTCGACGAAATGCGTTCGCGTTTAGCGCGGGTGTTTTCGCTCTGCGAAGACAGGGAATTCCAACCTCGCAACGCTGCACATATTGTTGTGTTTTGAGAGCCAGTGTGTTCTTCTGGGCGCAGGTGATTTCGGATGCAGCCACCGCAGCTTCCCTCGACCGCGATGCCTACGATCCGGTGAGCCAATCTTTCCTCCCGATGTCGGCGGCTTCACGCTAGTGTCATAGTCGCTTCGCCTCGGTCTTAAATTGTAGCATTCGTTGTGCCATAGCCTCCTTTATCCTAGAAAGCCTGTCAATTCCACAACCGAGCTTTTGAGTACCTTGCTGTCGGAAAATGGTGCAAGGGCAGCGCCGAGCGGTTTCCGACATGGTAGCGCAGAGTCGCTTCTGGGGCGATCCCTCAGGCAGCAGCAAAAATACGCGCGCGGTGTCCTCCTCGCGATCAACAAGCCGAAACGGAGAAAAAAGAAAGTAGGCCACCGGCGCATGGATAAACAAGAGAGGTAGTCGCAAGATCTTATTTTTTTTCCCGAAAAAAAAAAAAGAACATACAAAAAGGAGTGAGTCCGTGTTTCCGGATTTTACCGCTCTGGCATTGTTTGGCGCTGCCCGAGAGGCCTCCTGTGTGCGCCCTCTTGCATGATCTTCTTTCCCTTTTACAGCGGCCACGTTCTTTCGCGATTTGACGGGCTTTCTAAAATAAACGAAGTTAGGGTTGTGCATACCGGGAAAACAAAACCATGTGCCTACGCCCCGGTGCCTTCGTAAGAGGAATGCTCGTCAGCAGCGGCGCGTCATAGGAAGCGTGCGAGAAGACTCTACCTCTTACGTATAGAAGAAAGTGGACGCAACGAGCGGAAGATCGGAGCAAAAGTGCACGAAAGGAACCGCGCTGCGACATCACGAAGTCAGTCCAATCCACTCCCGTACAAACCAGGACCGTCCCAACCAAAAAACGGCTGCACGCCCGGCACGGATTAAGTCATCTAAAATGCCCACGATCAGGCCAGATTCACTATCCATGATTCGTTTCGCCGGTGAAAGTAAATGCACAAAGACAACGAGGGCTGAGACAATAAACGTTTTTGGCGCTGATTGATCGTTTCTATCGGATCGTCGCTTTCGCTGCTGTCGGACTTAGTATGAAGTGGAGCATGGATCTTGTCTTAAGCACCCTCCGTTCAGGTGTCTCGATTCCCGTATGCACCCTGCAACTAGACATTGTGTCTGTCCACGGGGTGTCTTCGTCCCTGAGTAGATGCGGCGATGTCCGGTTGCCTGGAAGACTTGAGGAGTCCCAACATGGCGTCCGACCGGTTGGCCAGCTTGGAGGTCTGCGTGACGACTAGCTGGGACAGGTTCTCCAGCTCCACGGTGTTGCGATTGCTGATGTCGATGATGGCCTGCTGTGCCCTGAGGATGCGTTCCTGCGTGTCGCTCGTCGCCACTTCGGTCTCGGACTCACCCCCGCCGCCGCTGCGGCCGTTCTGGGCGCACTTGTTGGCCTGCGTCAACGAACGCAAACGGTGTGTGTGAACACGATCCGTCACACACCGTCAAGCCGCGTCATTAAAAAAAAAAAAAAAGGAAAAAGCCTAGGCAGCGAACATACATACATCATACAAACTACAGTGGGCAGGCACTACCTGAGGCAAGTTTCATCCTTGTATTACGGTTTTGTAACATTTGTTTTACAAAGAACGTCTGCAGAAATGCTTGAAAGAAATGCAGTATGCTTCCGGATACTCGGGCCAAATAGCTCCTGGGATAAATTCACATCGCACAAAAAAAAAAAAAAAAGGGGTCGATGCCTATTAAAACTAATTTTTGGAGTCCAGTATCATTGGGTAAATAATTATTTTTCAGTAGTTGAATTTGATATTATCAATTTTTGCAGGTATGGTTTCAATTAGAAACTTGGAAATATCCCAAACTACAAGATCCACCGGCATTACGTGATACGCACATCATTTTAGTGCATTCCGAAAAATACAGAATTTTAACTTTGTTCTGGGTTTCTGTTTCTTACCGGAGCGCATCTCTGCGCCAGCAATCCAGCTGGCTCTTCGTGGCCAAAACGCGAAACGCTACGCATCGCGCGTGGAAGGGGCACACTTCGTTTCACCTCAGGTCCAGACGCGGGTGATGCTACGAGCTGATAGGACCAATCAGACAGCGAGAAAAGCGCGCCATCCTGTTGCTCGTCGTGTTTATGTATGTGTTCTATTATCTCCTATCTATTATCATCAAGCATTTAGAGGGACGGTCTAGTGACTTTGCACTTTTGACGCTGTTTGATTGTTTCCCGACTACCGCATGAGGTTTGCCTTTTTGACTTATGAAACATTAGCGTGAAGACGCATCTTTACGTTCGACGCGTGGTGGCGCACGCACGTTGCGTGTTTTGGCCACGGGAGGCGCGATCGGCGGCGCGGAGATACGCTCCGATAAAAACGCGTTCAAATCGTGACTTTTTTTTTTTTTTTTGAGGCTGTACATTGTAAATGTGAGGCACTTACATCATTGTAATATCGGTAAATTTAGTAGTTTTCAATCATTCGCATCAACTTTTTAATTGGAACCCTGAATTTAAAGTTGATCATTAGAAAAGTATTTGCTAAAAATGCATTCATTTTTCAATTATGCTGGACGCTAATAGTTTTTCCTTACGGGTCCCTCGGCACAGACCGCTACGCCATGAAACTCTTTCCGGTGCGCTGCGTAGTTTTCGCAGAAGCGAATTGGCCCGCGTTCCCTGTAGATAAAGAATGCATGCTTCAAAAATGATTGAGGAGCGTCCGCTGATGCCTTTGTCATTAGTGAGCTTTAGAAAGCCGTTTTTAGCATATCCGTTAAGGTACGTTGGGCCCTCCTCTACGAAGTCCGCATGTGCGAGTATTCTGCTGTAGCACATGCGCAGTTTGTCGCGGAGAGTCCATGGTACCATATTGAATGCGCCAGAACGGTTCCCTAAAACTCTCCATTATGTCTGCAACCGACTCGTACCGTGTCTTTACTATTATGTGTGAGATGTGTGACACCGGCTTTAGAGTGCAGGCAAGCTGGTGTGTATTGAACATAATGGTAACCCCGAAACTGAAGCAGAAGAAAATTAAAGCAATAAAAAAAGAGAGAGAAAAAAAAAAGAAGGGCAGATAGCGTTGAAAAAACAAAAAAAGACGTCATCTGTATTCTGCTGTAGGTTTAGAAAGAGTTATATACGTAAAGAAAGGGGACGGGACAACACATCTTTCATGTATTTTCCCGTCCCCTGTCTTTACGTATATAACTCTTTCTAAACCTACATCATTACCAACGCGCTCACTAACAAGTGTGTATTCTGCTGTTGTATTTTTCCCCTTGTCAGCTTACTGTTTTAGTTCAGTTCTCCTCCAATGTCAGAGTCACCCATCATGTGCGTCACCGAGTCGTTACACTCTCGAACGAAAGGTTATATTCTTACACCCCTCGTCCGATATACGACACCCCAAAACTTCTGTTCGACGTACAGCGCGCTGACGTCAAACCGGCGTTCCGAACTTTTATAGGTAGCTTGATAGCCGAGTGGTACAACTTATTAAAATAGCTGATATACGTCTTATTGACTACAAAAAAGTAATTAGGTTTTTCTTGGAATTACTGCCAAACCTGTGTTTTTGTTTGTTTGTTTTCTGTAGTCTTTGATGCGTACTTTACCTGTTTAATCTCACCGTTCTCAAGCACCTCGTGAAAGTTAAGGCCACGAGTTCGACATCAGCGGGCTGTACGTCGAACTGAAATTTAACGGTGTATTATATGGGACAAGGGGTGTAAGAATACACCCTTTTTTTCTGAGAGTGGACGTGGTCCGGGGACCCTATGCTTCAGGGCAAACTAAGCGGGAACCAAGGGACCAAGCGGGAACCAAGGGATCGGGACAAAGCCGTCTGCTGCGATTGGTCAGCGGCGCGGCGCTGATATATCGCAGCGGACGGCGTTGTCCCGGTCCCATGGTTCCACTTGGTCCCTCCGTGTAGCATAGGGCCACTGACATCGCGAAGACAAGGAACACGGCTTTACAAATAGCGTGGCGTCAGGACGCTGGTGTCATCGTATTTTGTTTTAGTTCCCTGAAGCAAAGTAAGTCTGTTGAACGTTTCCAGCTGGCAATTCATTTCCCATCATTCTTTCATTACACGTTTTGGTACTTTCAGTGATGCTTGCAAAACAAATTGTAATAAGTTCTGCAGTTATGTACTTCTTCATTGACTTAAAATGAAAAAAACACATAAGAGGACGAAACAGACGACACAGACGATTAAACATACGACATGTGTTTCTTTCGTTTTAAGTCAATGTAGATCACCAACACGCTCAAGTCTTTAATTGTAGTTCTTGTCTTGTCATTATTTCGTTTATTTGTTTGTTTTGTGGGGAGGGGGATGAAGGGTATTTACCTTCTCCGAAATATCACTATCAGAATTGCTGCACTATAGGCAATATAGCCTATAGTGCACTTGATAACACTTGATACAGTGTACTGAAGTGTACTTTATCAAGTGTACTGAATACACTTGATAAAGTATAGCATTTTACAAATTCACCAATTTTAGTTCTTACTGCTATAAATACTTTCCGTCCCTCGCGTGCAGTCGCGTGGTCAAAATTACATATTACAAATGGGCCAAGTTCACTAGTTTCCACTGTCGTCATATTGCGGAGTGAAATGCATAGTTGATTTATGGATATAAATAATAAAAACATTGAAAGTTTAATTTACTTTATATATATATATATATATATATATATTACAAGTCTACTAACGCGTCCGTTCTACAAAAGAAGGTACTTAAAATTGTTTTTTATTTATTATTACATTTTTTGTCTCCAATTGTTTTATATTTCACCGACTTGCACTCAAATGCAATGTCCTGAGCGGCTTTTCTATCTCAAGTTTAAGGCATACAAATTGCGAAGGAACAACGACAAAATGTGCTTTGACGTCACCGGACATTTTCCTACAAGGAGCCCATATTTCTGGAGGCAAAGTGTAACCAAATTTTTTAAACCCTGCCCCCCCCCCCCCCCCCCCCCCCAATCGGGAACTCCGGCAATTCCCGAAAAAATTGCCTTATTACAGACCGACCTACCTTTGGCCAGTAACCTTACACCTATACCAATGACAAGTTTCATACTAAAAGTTTACTGTACGCGAGTTTGTTTTTATTACTTCTGCTTCAATTTCAATTTTGTTTTTGTTTCTGTGTTATGAGTAATATTACCCCCCCCCCCCCCCCCCAAGGCCTCTCTTTTTTCTTTATGACTTTACGGGCTATGATGCCGCGGGCGCACGTCTCATTTATGACACAAGAGACGTGGAGTTCTCCTCAGACATTATGACAGAATTATCTGCGCACACGCCTCCAGGATCTTCGAAGCATGTTTGCTTCAATACGGGTTTCGAAAATATCTGCAGATGATGTTTGTTTGACCAATATGAAAGGACCTTCATACAAGGAAACCACATACTTGAGACCGCATCTGTAGTCTGTCTTTCGTAATATGTATTAGCAGTGTTTCCGCCGTTTTCGCGAGAAATAAGTTTATATAATTTGCTCCAGATACCAATTTTACCGCGTGAGCATGTATTTTTTTTTTTTTTTTGAAATATTAATGGGCATCTTACGAAAACTTATCCGGAGAGCAAGTCGTCTGCTTCGTGGGCAGGGGGTTGCGGTGACGTCACAACGACGCTTAGTTCTGATTGGCGTTGATCGGAGGATAATCGGCATAGCTCAATGATAGATGCCTTGAGGTCTACCCACTATTTTTTTTAATTAGCCAATAATAGTTCGGCGTTCTGACATCATGGCAACCCCTGTGCGCGAAGCAGGTGAACTTGCGCCCCGCGTATGTATCTGCTGCGGTCAACGAGTTCTTTCCACTTGGCCGTTTCCTGCCTCATAGCCGGTATGTCACACGGTGTGGGCAAGACATCGCCGGAAGATTGCGTCCCTCCTCGTACTCAAAGAACGTTCCCGGGAAGCCCTTCGGCGTCGAACGTCATTAGAAGACGCACACAGAGACGAAAAGCGCGGTCGGGAAACCCGACGAAAGTTGCTGTTTCCCCGACTGCGTGAAGGGCGCGTAAATATTTTGGCAGCTGTCGCTCGTTTAGTCCGTGGCAATTTGAAAGTTGCATGTTGCCTTTAGCTTCCCCGGCAGCGGGTGGAGTGGCGTCAGGTTATCAAATGCCTCTGTGGCTTCCTCATTTCCTCGGACATTCCAAGAGGAAAACCATGATTCGATGGGGGGCATTTTATTCTACGCACTTAGGTAGGAATACCGTCATAATGATCGCTGTTTTTCGCTAATGAAAGAAATAAAGATGCGAAGTATGGTACGACAGAACGGTCGCCCCTGCTGATTCAATAACCCGTGTTCTTACCTGGGCGTTCAGCCTGTTCACAAGCCCCTCGATCATTGTGAGTTTAGTCTCCAACCGAAGACCCATAAGCTTGAGGTCAAGCAAATCTTGGGAGCTGAAATAAAAGAGGTAGAATTAACTCGGCTGTATAGAGCGAAAGTGAGAGTGTTTTTCGAAAGAAACCACAACAACGTTGCTCGGTTTATTCTTGTTAGGTTTTGAAGGGGAGCACATTTATCTGAACGAGACATTACTCCAAGAATAAAGGCAGGAACGTACAAGCGTCCTTGTGTATATGCTCTCAGTAACGTTGGTTGTGATTGTTCAACAATATTTCTGCAACAAGCTGCATCTGCAAAATTGAGCGACACAACGCTTAATACTGTCGAAGCTAACTTATAAAGGTACTCAATAGATAAATAGAGCTTTAAAAATTAGAGAAGGAACAAGTATCAGAAATAAACATTTCCCAATGGTTTTTTTATGATTATTTGAACAAAATATTAAGATATTTGGTACAGAAATTTGTGTTTAGTCAGCAGTAGTCGCTACGGCTCCCCAGATTGCGAGGCACCGAATCCGTAGGTCGAAAGTGAAGAAACCTGTGTATGAAGAATGGTCATGGGGCTCCCAAATACATATCTAGATATCTGACAGATTCAGACAAAGATACTCACTCACAACTCGGTGGCCAGTCCCAAATAAGACACACAGATAACCATGATAGGACACCAAAAGTCGATATCGTCCGCTCGTTCGCGATAATCGTTTACTCAGTGATTTCTTGGCGATTCTTCACTGGTTAACACTGATACTTATCCTGTTCTCTATTAATAGCTGATAAGGGGTCCGAAAGTGCAGTCTAACGGAGGCTATCTTCGGTCAGCTCGTCTGGACGCTGACTCAAAGAAGCGAATTTTAAACGGTTTTTGCTTTCACGCTCATCAGCGACCACGCCGTTTTTCATGTTTTCATGCTTCATGTTTCATGTTTCTGTGAAGGCTATTGATATTTTGGCCATATATTTATGAGTAGTAAAGCAGTTAGTCGGCAGAAGCTTTAGCTGGGTGGGAAGACGTGGGCAAAAGAAAGATTCGGAATAGGCCAGAATGTTTTGAGATAGTGAAACGGGAAGGTACTTTGGGATGTGCGCGGCGGAGGATCATGGCAGTTTACAAATGAAGCTATTCTGTGTCGAGCGTTGTTACTGTCATTTGAACCCCGTCTTTGCGGCCTATTCTGTACCTTAACTTTTCTCGTAGCTTATTTTTTCAACGCAATAAAATTATAGAACTATTATTTCACCAAAGCCTTTAGTGCAAATTGCTAACCGCTAATAAAGCTTTTATATATTTGAACTATTTATTGAAAGTGTTTTTAGTTATTAAAGGGAAGCTACGGAGCTTCTTGGGAAAAATGAGTTGGAAGTGAATTCTAGTGTATTTTTACCCCGTGAACCCGAATACCCAAACCATTTGCTGCGTAAGTATTGTTAAACGCGAGAAAAACGCGAAAAACTGTCGCTGTCCGTGACGTCATCGACGGCTCTTTTGGCTGCCCAAGGCTAGGGGGGCGGGGCTTCAGCCCTATTTTGAAATTGCTCTTGTGGCTCTCCGGCGCGTCGCATTGAAATATAATTTTGATATCTGTTATTCTAAAGGCCAAATGAACGCAATTCAAGCGTTTTTTCTCAAATGTAGAAGTGCCCCATCTTCCCTTTAATAACTTGAGAAACAAATCTTTATCTTACATAATTCTGTGTCATTTATATACTGCTAGCGTTCAATGTTGTAGTGTCCGAGTCTAACTAATGCAACAAATATAAACAAACGACAGCGACAAGCCTCAAACCAGATGCTTTCGCGATTTGGCAGGCTTTGTAGAATAAAGGAGGCTATGCTCAAACACGAGCATCATGCACGCGAGGGTATCTTTGGCAGGCTTGCAATCACTTGTGCTTACTTCACGAGCACCGAACGGCTAAACGCCTGCCAAAGGTATGTACCATCGCGAGCATGCTGCATGTGTTTGCGGCTTGTCGCTGTCGTTTGTTTCTGTTTGTCGTTCTAGTGGGACTTGGGCATAAACGTTATGTTACTTCTCGAGAATATGGATTATGTAAAAATATATATTGAACTTCGTATTTGAAAGCGCAATGTTGTACAACTTATAGAGGAGGGCGAAAAGAACAGAAACCTTCCTAAAAAGGAAACTGAAGGTCGGCCTTTCTTGGAGCACAGTATTTCAATGGGTCATTCAAATCTCCAATTATCTCGCAGAAAACAGATTAATCCAATTACAGCCATCTTGTAGGCCCCTCTCAAAGCTGGATCCGTGCAACCTTGCATTTCGTTTCCATACATGGTGTTTTTTTTTTCTCTTTTGTCGAGTGTGCAATACGCTTAGCCAATTAGTTCACCCAATATGGAGTCCTATTCAACTATACTTATTACAAAATATACTATACTCATTACAATACGTTTAGCCAATTAGTTCACCCAATACGGAAGCCCCATTCAACTATACTCATTACAATACTCATTACAAAATACAAGCCAGTATTTTGTTTTAGCAATACTATGTCAAAGCAGGCTCGACATGTCATGACATATGCTCAGGCGCTGCAGGTTGTTTTTGTAAATAACATAAATAAAAAATAACGGTACCCACAATCAAGTCTTAAATTAAAAATACCGATAACAAAACTGATTGGTTGATTAAGATAGGGGGTTCAATCTCAATCCCTCATTCGGCTAACACATATACCAAGCTCTTAAGTATGCGCTGTTCAAGCATATGCTTTCGCGCTGCCTCCCTTGGTTCAACAAAGGGTTAAGTGCAAGAGGCTCTTGAACTCCCCCAGGTACCGTGTGCCTCACTACAATCCTCCTCAGTATTTGTCTTTTCATAAATTTCCCCTCCCCCCCCCCCCCCCCTAAAAAAAAAAAATGGCGTTTTTTAGACTAGGGAGTTGCCTGATTCTGCTATACTCACAGCTGGTGGTCGTCGAGGGCTTCGCTTCGACGCGTCCATGTGGCGACGAAAAACACGAGGAAAATCCCAACCACTCCGAGACGAGCCATGTTCGAGACGCAGACTGATCACTTTTCTGGCTGGCCGATCGTCACACCTGTTGGTTGGCTCTGCGCGGCCGGCACGAAGAGACGAAGAGAGAGCGAAAGGGCGAAAGGCGTCCGCAAGCAACACCAGCTAGAAGACTATAGGCCTATCCCTCCACCACTCCCCACGCAGACGTCATCACTCGTAGATCCAGGGAGCGTCGCCTAGCTCACGTTAGCGTCGCCGCGAACGCGTCTTCTCGCAGCGTCCCACAACGAACGCGACTCTAGCACGCGTCGACGCCAAGACGAACGCGTTTGCCGCTTTGCGGCAACTCTCGTGGAGCTTCAGCCCGTTTGCCGCTTGGAGCGGGTCGGGCGGGGATCCACCGTTGGTGACGTCATCCACAAGCCTTGTATTGCCACAACTCGTTCTCCGCGTTGTGTTAATGGCCTTGGCGTGTCGGGGAAAAAAAAAAGAAGAAACGAGAGAAAGAGAGAGAGAGATGACCTGGCGGAACAACATCCTCTCTCCTCCTTTGTGCGAGTGCGTGCGCAAAGGGGGAATACTTGTATCGGCTAGGTCCTCGCCGATGTGTGGAACAGACTCCACGTATAGAGTCACACCTATAAGGTTCTTGCGGGAAAATAAAATCACGACTATAGTACACGGCGGTTGGAGACGACTCCATAAAGCCTCAGTCATCACACTGCTACACCTGGGAGACAAGTCGCCCGTTGTGGCAGACTAAGTTCTAGGCCGTATAAACATACGCAAACCCCTATTGTGCCGGTTTTTCCTTCGGACAGGCCTCAGGCCCCTTCAAAGCATGTTCGCTAACAAAAGTATGCTTCGAACAGGTTTGCGGAAAGATTTTGCATGTTAAATGTCGTAGGACCGTCATGCAGAGATGGAACATGCCTCGGACCAGGAACTCAACTTGTTCCGCTGTCATTTCTCGGCACTTGTCTTCGACCAGCAACTATAAACTGGAAGCTGGGCGATAAAGTCGGGCAGGAATCCGATGGCCCCGATTGGCCGGCGCCGCGGTCGACCTTGACACCGGCCAATCACGGCGATCGAATTTCTGGCCGATCTATTCGCGGAGTTCTCCAGATTAGAGACCCAAGGGTGGCCAAAGTGCGGCTCTTTTGCGGGTTCGAGTGTGGCTTGCGGACCCTTTGATAAGCCTACTCCTCTATGATCAGAAGGAAGACGTTATAGAATAAGTGACAGCTCGCGTTTTGGGGCAGCCGTCCTACTGTACACGTACCGGTGCGAAGCGCTCTTCTCAATGATAAATGTGGTAAAATCGAAACCGTCGGGAATCAAAACTATGATTGAGCTGCTCGGAACTGTAACGACATCATTGGAGCCAAACTTCATAACTGCTTATTTCACGAATGGAGACGAACAATACAGAGACATAATAAGCAATAGCTTTTTAAGTTAAATACGGTGTAACTTTGAAAACTAAAATAAAAAAAACTGCCATTGCCCTTTTTTATTGCTGCTCTCCACTTAAACTTGGTGTTTCTATGATTCTCTGCATAGGTCCGTCTGGCCACCCCTGCCACAAGCAGCGTCTGCAGAGTGTCTTTTGTATGAAGTATTAGCCATACCACAGCAGCTTAAACGTAACCTAGCGGTGGCAACAGTGAACCGATGGCAGCAGGCGTTAACTACAGTGGCTTAAAGGGGGTAGTGTAACGAACGAAGCCGGAGAAGCGGCACAGCGTTGGAAGACGGCCGCGGGTGGCGCTGGCGCTTGCAGCACCGTCGTTCCGGCTATGACTCCGGCTTGGCCGCTTGGTCAGCTTGGCTCCGGCCAGCTCCGGCCGATTCACAGCTGTCGACTACACTGTCGTCTCCTAGTTTCATAGTTTTATTCTCCTTCAAACACAAATCAAATCGTTGGAAGTTCGCTGGAAACAAATAATTGTTTTTGAGGTATTTATATTAGTCATGAAGCGTGTTAGGGTGCCTCTATCTGCCGGCCGATTGAGGCATCCAACGGAGCTGCGGATCGAAGCGCCACCTACACCGTCTTCCAAGGAGCGGCCGTTCGCGATACATGGTGGAGGCTACGCGATAATCACACTACCCCCTTTAAGCCACTGTACGTTAACAATGTAGCCACCAACACATTAAGAAACTCAGGGTGGAGCGATGTCCCGTGCATTTCATTATCACTCCCTCAGCCAATGAGATTGCGACATGCGCCGATGAAAAGCGCCGAACAGCCAATCCCGAAGCACGAAAGATTACCGCGATAAGCCACACCCTCCATTTCTTAAGATTTCTGTGACTATGTACATGACAGTCAATGGGTGACTATCACGATCTACGAGAGGATCGAAATATAGAGGGGCTGCTTTCCCAACGCAAAACGCGAGGAAATAATTATTTATGTCACTGACCTCGATCGATCGCGGGTCAAAGATTGGACACAAAAGCTTAATGATCGTTCGGCTAGACTCGGGTTCAATCGCTGCTCCAGTGATTGAACACGAGCTCCACCCGAAGGCTGAAGTAGTGACTCGGCTACGTCGGCCGAGCGCTGCGTCAAGAACACGAAAACATAATTCGTGCTGTCGTTGTCCCCGTGCGTTTAGTTCTCCACTGAGCCGTTAGGAACGCGACCTGTTGGATCTTTTTTCAATACTTCTTTTGGACCAAACTTGAGAAACAGTGAGAGATATATGGTAGCCCAGCAAGCCAATTGGAGCATCGCCGCGAGGCTCGTGACGGTGTACTGTCAATCTATAGTGCTTCTGTGGAGGAGAGCCGCAGCTTTCCACCTTTGCCAAGTTACGTTGAAACGAGGTATGGTAATTGACACAACGTTTGCTCCGTGGTGTCGATGACGTGCTTGGATTTCTTAAGTAAACAAGGGAAAGGGCTCATGACTAGAATAGAAACAACTTCAGATAACCGTCTCTCTTCCTAATTAAACGACTATAGACAAGGTCAGGCACCTCAGGTTCTCATACCTCTTGTACGCGGACAAAAATTAAACTTTAACAAGCTCACTTTTTTTCTCCCTGACACCAGATAGCAGCAACAAGAGGGGAAATTTGTAGAGCCATTTTTCGTAAACACTTCCTTTCTCAAAGTTTCCGTATATTCGCACGTGTAGCCTGAGCTCCTGCCTCACCATAACTTTTTGAAGCCGGGCGGGGAAGAAGAAAGAAGAACGGATGAGGCGGAGGGGGGGGGGGGGGAGGTCCTCTTCACAAAGAGCTTTAACGTAACAGACAAAATGACGTCCCGAACGGATCCGACGCAACGAAGGAAGGTAATTGCTATTTTAGCATGAACGAAGCACTTCATCATATAAATAAACTGGTGTGTTCCCGTTTTGCATAAAAGGTCGCCCTCGGGAGCTTAGAGAATTAGCGGTCACCCCCCCCCCCCCCCCCCCACTTCCTTCTTCCCCTTAAATCAGTGCCTGCGAGAGCCCTCATAGACCTACCGTAAAGAACGAAAGTCAAGAAGCACGAAATGTACTCTAGCAAAATTGCATGCCTCTTCCGTGGCACTTTATACGAAGTTTGATGTTACATTAGGCGATCCTGAAATCACGTAGGCGCGTCGGCGTCCATCGCATGCCCAGCGGCCGCTTCCATGCTATTTATTCCTGGAATTCCTTTTTTTTTTCTCGTTAATGTTGCCCAACGTGGTCAGGTGAAGGAATTCTCGGAGCAATCTTTCGGAAGGGTTTCTTAAAAGAAAAGGTGTAGCTCGGCTTCTAACGGTTGTAAAAGGCGTAGATTATTTTCGACTAAACAAAACGAATCACATGTTCGAATCAAGCCAGGACTAAGCCAGGACGAGTGTGGACAATGCTTTTGCACTTATCGAGACTCTTGTAGCGGGAAGGAAGGTACTGTATTCGAAAATGTTTACACGATTTGATACATACACTTCGTTCCACATCTCGGGCGATGAGTCAGTTTTCGATGCAATTAACAAATCCGAGGTGTGGCCTCAAGGTAGCATTTTCCATCAGCTCCTTGGTCGACTAGAAAAGGCTAGTGTTTACACTGATGACGGAGTAGAAACCATTCATTACGCACAATCTTAGCGTGTTTTACCAAAAATGTACGAGTCTTGAGGACTAAGGCCGACGAGTTTTTGTACAATTCAACTAATACAAGTCATGATATTAAATGTATTCCCGAAACCTGGCATTCTGATGGTATATCAGTCTCTATAATTACTTCAACGCCAGCTACACTGTCTATCAAAGGGTTAAATACTACTCGTATACGGCACAAAAGATAGGAGGGGGCGTGGTAATTGCAACTAAAGTTTCCGTGGCATCGCATAGGCGGTTTGATCTCGAAACTTATTCAGAATGTTGTTGGATCGAGATTAAGGCAAGTGACGGATTTAATTGCCTGATAAAAACGTACTGTTCTTCCCTTCATTTGATGAAACCACTTTTATTGAACATTTCGAATCTCTCGGTAAGCAGATCGATTTTGACAAGTGTCGCGTTCAGATATACAGAGATCTTAATCTTCCGGGTATAGATACGTCATTGCAAGCTTTAAACAATAATACATTAACAGCAAGAAAGGCCTTTTCTTTGTTGTCTTTTATAAACTTGGGCTTGTGTAAATATATTGAAACTTTCGGACAGGTCTAATGTTCTCGCTTTGTCTGATGTCAATCGTGCTAGCGAGGCTCTGACGGCAATTGTAAAAGATGTCATCGACACTTTTATGCCCAAACGTTCAACAAAGCCATTCAAATATCCTGAATGGTTTTCCAGGGATTTAAAATGTTATTTGATCAAGAAAGAACATTTCCACCGTCTTTATAAAAAATGCGGCCCTTCGCTTATGTACACCAAATTCAGTTTATATCGGACCTTGGAGAAGAAACTGTTCAAGCGCGATAAACGCATACATCTTGAAAGCGTAGAAAAAAGCTTGTTTTGCTCCCTGAATACTTTCTGGAAGTTCACGAAGCAACATACACGGGACATTAGTCCTGTCATCTGCTTACGTGCCTGTTCAGACAACTCCCCGGGTTATGAAAAATTTATTTTGGCA